GGTCTACACTGTCAGATTAATGAATGGGAGGAATAAATTCCCCGTTTCCAGACCTGGAGTGAGTAGTTTGAAAACTCGGTCATGCCATCCAGCCCATGTAATTCACCATTAATGTTCTGAAGGAGAGAGTTCCAAACTGGAAAGTGCCTAACCCAAAGGGGGCCCAAGATAATCTACTGGGGTGCAACAGCGTCATATTAGAATTTCTGTGTATTCTTTATTTCATCTTTTTAAGTTTCTATTTTTGTTTCTGTTTTTTAATATACATAATATTTTAGGAAAATTGTATATGTATATTACTTATACATGGATAAATTAATGAAGGTGCTCAAAAACTTTTCACTGATAGTTGTAAGCAATTAAAGAAAACATTTAGGGACAGCTGCTCTAAACAATGGGTTCGCTTTCTACTAGATGGAAGACTACAGATTGATTTAAATGATATATTGATTCACATTTGAGACTAATCCCCAAAAGAAAAACTAGTTCAGAATAGCCATTTGCAAAGATCGATTTTTTAGTATAACAGAGCTCGGAACACCAGAGTTCAAACTGTCTCCCCACAACGGATGAGAGCAAACTCATGTGGCTGTCCTTGCTTGGGTTCCTAAGCTTTCTCTTCCTTCTTCACTAATTGTGTGGTTAGGACTCCAATTATAGGACCCCATTTACAGTCTGCCTTCAGGCCACTCCTGCAGTTCTGAGAACTGAGTTTGTGTTTGACCCTGAGACCCATTCGTTCCCAATCAACACACTGGTTCTAGTAATCAAGTCTTATCTTATACCTTGTGCCTAAGTCTGGATCCAAAAGCCAAACTTCTACTTAGTCCTACAAGGAGGGAACCACTAAGGCCTCACCAATTTCTAGGCATGTGATTAGGGCCTGGACACCTGCTGACAGAGTTTTCAGTGTTTTGGATTCTTGGAATGTTTGCATGTAAATGACAGAACAAAGCTCTGCATGATTATCTAGAGTATTCTTGTAACTGGTTGTGAGTGCCGGTTACTAATAACCAGGAGGAATGTTCTTGATCAGCATTTAAATGTCCTCTTGAGTAAACAAGGTTCATCTCTCTAAGAGTGCAAAGTTGCTGCCCAGCACCAATTCCCTTTAAATTTAAAGCAAAATCAAAGAGACTTTCGGATATATACAGTCTGGAGACCCTAGATAGCTCTAAGCTGCTACGCTTCCAGTGGTGAGGAATTTAGCTGTGGTCTAGCCGACTCCTTGAACTGTGCACACCTGCAGATAACCCCTCAGCTTTTCTATGTTCAATCTTTCTTTGGTTGACGCTCAAAAAACTGCCTCTTTGAATTTAGCTCCAATTTCCACTAGCGATGTCTTTTTATGCTTCTTAACTATTTTCACTTTTCATGTGCTCTCCAGATTAAAGAAATACATATACAGCTCGCTCTATCTATCTATCTATCCATCTATCTGTCTATATACATACATATATAGATATGTATATCTGCAGGAAATACACCCAAGAGTTACCATAAAGTGTTCTGAAGGGAATTTACACCTGTCTCACGTGTAGAGTCTGGCTCTTTTTTTTAACTCCTTCATAGCCCTGAGCACCTGCGCCCTCATTAGGTTTTACAGCTGACTAAGGGACCTGGACTTCATTCCAGTTCAGGTGGAGTCTTGTTGATCAAGACCCATTCTACCCCAACTAATCACGCCTACCAGAGGGGCGTTACCTGACAACCAAACAGCTGCCGGAGGTGAACCCAGGAGTTACTACACCTTATAGTTACTTCATTTATCAGTTACCTCATATCTTATATTGTTATAATGATCTACCTCACAGGGTGATTGCTGGAGTAAAGAGTAAGCACTGAAATGATTACAAAACATTCTTACTTCCCTGGTGTCATAATAGCTAACACAATACATATCAAGTGCTTCAAATTTTTCATAGAATATTTCCTGTGAATATTTATGCACAATATTTTCATCTGACTGTATAAGGTGAAAGTCTTTTTTGATGTCTAAGAGAAAACAGGTCCAATTCCAAAGTCATTCAATAATAATAATAATACACCAGCACCAGTGCACTGGGGGGTTTCATTTATCATTTAACTTAATTCTCGTAATATCCTATGATACCATTATGATCTCCATCTTACAGAAAACTGACCCTTGGTGGCTTTAACTAGCTTGCCCACGGCGGCCCATCTAGGGAAGGCTGAGCCAGGGTTTAACCCAGGCAGTCTGATTCCAGAGCCTGCACACCTAACCACCACACCGTTCCCGAGGCTTCCTCATAAAACCGGGCTTCAAGGAAGGAGGGCAAAAGACTCGCCATCTGTTTCCTATTCAACCAACCTGATTTATTTTAGGCTTGAGGCCTTGAGAGTGTGCTAATATGAAATCCTATGTTAGTCGTCTATTTCAATTAGGGAAAAGGGGAGCTTTGTATCAATGATGTCTGTTATTTTCCATGTGAAATTCTTTTAGCCTTGCAGTGAACTGTGCCCAGACCCCAAATCTGCCTTTTACTCTTTACCTTCAGAAAGTTTTCAAGCAGAGCAGGGAATTAAGCAATTGTGAACTTCCGAAAGAGTCTCATAGCTGAGGCACTTTGAAAATGAAACTACTATTATTTTATTGTAGGACTGGCAAATGCTCTCAAAGTCAATATGTTCCTTGTCTGGTTTCCAACAGCAATGCTTTTTGCCAATGGTCACCTACGTGCCTCCAGTCTACCTTTGGGTAAGGCATAAAATTCTACGAACAAACTGGCTGTGATTTTCTCATTCTTCCAGAAATCTAATTCCTCACGACCACGTCACTGAGCAGTTTCACGTGGTAGTAATTGAGACCATATTTCCCATATGTGACTTTCTGGTCTCTGATAAATGGTGTGAATGGAGTATTCAGGTCCTAGACTCCCTGGAACACAGGCCTTTTCAGGGCTGGCCTCTCAGGGGGCTGCTCTTGCAGGTAAAGGAGATTTTTGTCTTCCCCAGATTCCTATGTTAAAATCTTAACGCACCCCCGCCTTTGAGGGCACTAGGAAGCTGGGCCTTCGGGAGGTGATTAGGTCATGGGGGCTCCACCATGATGCATGGGATTAGTGCCCTTAGAAAAGAGGCCCCCACAGGGCTCTCTCCTTCTCTCTGCCACGTGAGGACTCAGCAAGAAGAGCCCGACCATGCTGGCACCCTAATCTCGGACTTCCAGCCTCCAGAGCTGTGGAAAATACATTTCTATTGTCTGTAAACCACCCAGCCTGTGGTCTGCTGCTACAGCAGCCCGCACTGAGACAGGAACGAAAGCAAGCAGTGTGTTTTCATCTCTTGGGCTTCCCTGTCCTGGACACTCAGTGGATGGAGCATATTCTTAGTCATGAGGGAAAGAAACAGATTCCTGCTCAGCAAACAAGAAGAACCAAAGGCTATTTCATGGGCAGGAACAAAAGCACATCTTGTGAAAGGGAAGAGTGCCCCAGCAAAAGTTAGCGGGGCCCTCTCTGAACACCAAGGTCCAAACTTGCCATCCTGGGTCCAGAGAGAAGAAATGTGGGCAAGTTTGCTCTGCCAAAGCCCTCCTCCCATCATGCAGTTGGTGGGATCAGAAGAACGTTGCTGTGTACATGCAATGGAATGCTATTCGGACACAGGCTACACCATGGATGAAACTGGAAGACATTGTGTGAAGCAAAATAAACCAGTCACAAAGGAAAAACACAGCTCCTTTGACTTCACTTTCAGGAGGTACATAGTGGAGTGAAATTCATACAAAGTAGAACAGGATTTTCAGGGACTAGAGGAGGAGGGGATGGGGGTTGCTGTTTCATGGGCACAGAATTTTGGTTTGGGGAGGTGAAAAAGCTGTGGAGTTGGATGTTGGTGATGGTTGTATAACAATGTGAATGCAGTTAATGCCACTCAACTGTGCACTTAAAAATGGTTAAGATGGTAAATTTTCTACTATGTATATTTTCCGAGAAGAATAATTTGCGTTGAATGAAATGATCAATTTTATGTTGGAGCTAGAAAAGCCCTTACAGACTGTCACAAGCAACAGTGTCAGTGTCAGTTCAGAGTCAGCTGAGGTCCAGCAGGTGAAGTGACTTACCAAAAAGCTCATGGCTTGGGAGGAGGGTTTAGCTCGGTGGTAGAGCACATGCTTAGCTTGCATGAGGTCCTGGATTCAATCTCTAGTACCTCCATTAAAAAAAATCAAAAAACAAAAACAAACTCATGGCTTGTTAGAAGCCAAGCCAAAACTAAAATGTAAGTTCTTTCATCCTCCCCAGCCACTGCTCATCTCATAGAAGTTTTAACAACCTGAGGCTTCTTAGAGCAATGGCCATGAGGATTTGTTTGGGTACTTACTGCCCCCAGGCTCTAAACTCCTTGACAGCAAGATCCATGTGTGTGTGTGTGTTTTTTTTAAATAGAGTTTATTTTTTTACAGCAGTTTTAGGGTCACAGCAAAATGGAGCAGAAGGTACAATTTCCCTTCTATTTCCTGCCCTCACACATGCGCGGTGCTCCCCACCCCCATCAGTTTCCTGAGCAGAGAGGTACAGCATTACAACCGATGAACCCACACGTCATCAGCAGCCAAAGTCCATAGTTTACACCAGGGTTCAGTCTTGGGGTTGTGCGTTCTGTGGGTTTTAAGAAATATATAATGATGTGTGTCCACCATTATAGTATCATAAAGAGCATTTTCACTGCCCTAAAACTTCTCTGTGCTCTGCCTGTTCAGCCCTCCCTTCTCCCTAATCCCTAACAACCACTGATCATTTTATTATCTCCACAGTTTTGCCTTTTCCAGAATGTCATAGTTGGAATCGTACACTATGCGGCCTTTTCCAGTTGACGTCTTTCACTTGGCAATATGCATTTAAGTTTCCTCCCAGTCTTTTCATAGTTTGATGGCTCATTTCTTTTTATCCCTGAATAATATTTCATTGGCTAGATGTACCACAGTTTACTTTTCCATCCATCATGTCTTTTTATCTTTGTATTTCAACACCTAGCAACCTGCCTGGTACATAATAAAATCTGAACAAATATTTGTTAAATGAATGAATGAACAAACAAAGCACCCATCAGCAGACCTGGGCTACTCAGCTTGGAAGGTGAGTATCAAGAAGAGGATGGTCCAGAAGTTTCCTTATTTGATTCATCAGTCTTTGAACATTGGGTCTAAATCCAGCTGCAAGAGATAATACTTATATTATTTTTTTAAATATGTTTTGTTTTTTAAACCCAAATTTGGAGTATGAAAAATAAACTAGTATTCACATTTATGCAAAATACTATGAATATTTCTATTTCTAATTTTATGAGAGAACAAAAATACAGATTAAATAATAAGAGCTAATTCCCTTTAATCGTGGCCTCTGTATTTGCATCTTGCGACGACTGCTTGTCTGGTTTCTTAATCCTGAGTAGTGAAGTCTGGTGCCCTCTCGTGGCCTTTCATTGTTAAAAGAAAAATGGTGAGAAGTTTTGTTGTCCTACGAAATTTTTATTCCTCTAACTAGCATCTACTTCCTCCTGGAGGAAGATCGCCTCTTGAGAATCACCGCTTCTCCTGCTGGCCGTGTCTCTCAGCAACTTCAAACTAGAATATTCCACCTGTCAAAGATGTAGTCAGGCTGGTTGTGATTTTTCTGCTAGTAGCCAGGGCAGTTACTTTGAGGTCCTATGGAGTTTCTCTAAAGAAAGAGAACGTACTTAAATAAGATGATTCCAGAATACTGGCAAGTCAAGTCCATGTGTCATATGAGGACCTTCATGATCTAGCCCACCTTGCTTCCTGTCTCCCCTCTCATACCCCCCATCCTCATGCCTCTTGACCCACAGATGACCAGCAGCTCTTCTTGCAAGATGACTTAAGTGTCATTTCCTTGTTAAAACATTTTCTAGGTGAAAAAACTTGTCTACTTCTTGGTGCCCTCACCTCCTTCAGTCTCCAGTAATGGCCGACAACTCTCTCACTTAGCTGAATCCTTCATTAATGGTTGTAGTCCTTGGGTGCAGGCTTTATGTCTTGATGGAAGCAACTGCTCATTCCCATTCCCCTGGTGCTTAGCACAGAGATGCAATAAATGTTGGTTGAATTACTGTAAATTGAAGATCAAGACAAAAAGTCCTAATGGAAAGAAAGAACAAGCAAAAACTAGCAGTGATCTCCAGGGGCCCCAAGATTTCCCCCCCTTGTGATCTCACTGACTTGCTGTTTGGTACAGAGGCTATAATGGCAGCATCACTTCCATGATGCCTGCAGGGCCCCTAGGCCTACAGGGGACGAAAAGGTACATTTTCCACAGCCTCTCTATGCACCTTTGAGCCTTGTGTCAAAACAAACCTTGATGCAGTGAGAACATAAAAGGCAGATGAAAGCACTGGCTTTTCCCTCTAATACGAATATAGGACTTAGGGATAAAGAACATGAGCTCAGAGGGTACGCTTGCCCTAATAAGTCGCGTGGCTTGTGAGTGAGGGAGCCAGGACCAGGAAGTGGGCCCCTGACTCCCAGTTCCCTGCTCCGTTCACTCCGCGGTGCAGTGCTTCCTCTGGGCAGGGAGCTCTGCTCCTGAACTGCACACCTGGGCTGTCTGTGCACCACACACACACAATACTTCAGTAAACACTAAAATATTGTTTAGAAACTATAAGCAACTCTTACTAACCAGGCATTCCCCTCCCCAGTCCCCAGCTAAAGGAAACTAAACAAAACAAACCCACCAATGAAAACGCAGGAACAAAACCATCGAGCACACGCCCGTGGGATCAGCAGAGTATCAGGAATACGGTGGAGAGACCTAGAGTCACTGGGGCTGCGTTTGGACCCATGCTCTGCCACTTACCTGTTTGTGGCCCTTGGAAATTGATTCCTCTCTGCCTTAACTTCGTCATACGTAAAATAAGTTAAAAATTGTGTGTGTTGAGAGAATGCAGGGAGTTCTGGTTTACAGTCAAGTATTCAGTTAGTTTTAGCTCTTATTGTTATTATTTGCAGAATCATTTCAGTTATCCAGATTGGATCCTTTGGTGAGATTCACTGCACAATTAAAACTTTGTTTGTATTGGCTATAGTCTTTGATGGCTGATTTCTTTAAAATGAAGCTTATTTCACCTACACTGCTATATAGAGCTGCAGAACCATCTGGTCCCTTTCTTCCTCTGTCTCTCTCTCTTTTGATTTCAAAGTTAAAAAACAGTTTCAATACCATGGCTCCACGTAAAGGTGAGCCCCTCTGCACTCTTCAGTGTATCCCATTTCTGAGGTTCAGGGGCTCAAGGTAAGAAGCTCTTTAAAGACCTGGTCAATATAAAACAATCTTGTCAGTACAGAAAAAAAAGAAGCCCTGCCTATTCGCTTTTCAGAGGCAGCTGTTCTCCAAACAGACTCACCCCAAAGGGAAGCTGGGTCTTGGGGCACTGGTTGGCTTTGATTACTTTTATTTCCTTGCAAATGGCTCCCTTCCTCAGATTTCTCATCTCCTTTGATATCAATTCATGATACAAATGCCCCTTGATGGATCAGAGAACCAATAGCGCCTTCTGGCCAACTGGCTTCTGTATCCATACAAAGCCCATAGCAAGGGGCAGGTATAGCTCAGTGGTAGAGCGTGTACTTAGCATGCCCGAGGTCCTGGGTTCAACTCTCAGTGCTTCCATTAAAATAAATAAGTAAGTAAACTTAATTACCTCCCCATGCAGGAAAAAAAAGAGAGAGAGAGAGAGAGAAACATAATAATAAACATGAAAAGCCCATAGCAACCTCAGCCCCCGAGCTCCTGGACTCTGCTTTTCACTGTTGCACGCAATGGTATTTCTCCTTTATCTTAACACACATGCTCTCCCAGTCAAGTGGGATTTGCCTAGCCCTTGGGCAGCGGTTTCATCAGACAGTGTTTGCTTTCTTTCCAGAAAGTGAAAAGAATGTCTCTCTCTCCCAGAGCAAGGGATTAAATCTTTATCCGGAAGAAGTCAACAGATAAGTTTGTAGTGAGATCTTTGAACTAAGGGTCTTGAGAACATCTACGCAAGACACCATTCGAAAGCAAAACAGACTCAGCCGAAAGCTTCCTAGAAAAACACGAATTAAAAGTTAAGTGTGGTGGTAACCAAATTTGACTGTTAACCGTGACAACCTTGAATTCAGTCAAGCAGAGGAATGTCAGAAAAAGGGCCTGTCAATACACACGCATGTGACTCCTACAAGGATTAACAACTGGGACTTGGGTGTTTAGACAGAAACTTGGGCTGATGTTTCCTGACTTTGCACTTCAGCGTCCTGGTAAAACTGCAGATCCACAATTTGCTAGATTTCTTCTCTTAAATTCAAACCACATGTAGGGACTTATTAAATAAGCATATGTCATAACATATTTCGGTAACTATTGGGTAAACTAAAAAGTTGGCAACAGGTCTCATACAAGTTACTCAATTGTCTAGTAAGGCAAGGCGGCTTTTCAAAGTACAGCCTCTTGCCATTTTTTTAAGCCCTTGATGTGAGCAGCTGAGGACTGAAAAAATTGCTCTTCTTTCCTCAGTGGGTGAAGATGGGGGCCTGGCAGTCAAGCCAGAGATGTGTGTCTGCACTGCATCTAGGGAGAAGGAAGCCCAGCCAAGTCCCACCCTCTGAACCAGATTTGCTGGAGTGATGGGTGAAAAGCCAGACAGCTCTTCGGGACAACTGGGCCTCCACTCCTCGCCTCCGCAGCTTTGAGGGGCACATGGGAAGGCGGATGGGTTAACTGGGAGCTGGTTCTTGGATCTTTTGTCTTTCCTTAATTCCTTATTTTATCAGGGAAGTCATTTATACAGGATGAAAAACACCAAATATCCTCCAAACACACTAGCCTCATCCCCTTTCTGGTGCCACGGCAGCCAGGAAATATGAAAGTATTTATTGAGACAGTGGAGTTTGCAGGTTGATTAGAAGTTTCTCTGCTTTGCTGCGATGATTGCGCCTGCTCAAGATGACGGTAGAAAAATAGGTCTATATGTTTAAAGTCAAGAGGCCAGACTCCAATCTCTTGCTTTTATTTCTATTGCTTGGGTAGACTGCCCTAGGAGAGCATTTTTGAGATGTATGTCAGATACTGTTTTGCCTATATTTTCTTCCAGGAGGTTTATTGTAACTTGTCTTATGTTTAAGTCTTTGATCCATTTTGAGTTAATTTTTGTGTATGGTGTAAGGGAGTGTTCTAGCTCAGACGCCAATCTCATCTCTACAGCTACTGCTGTAGCCTCTTCCTGCCGATCGGGGGTTGGGCGGGGGGTGGAGGGGAGCAGGAATGGGAAGGGTTTCAAAGAGGGGGAATTTGTGAGATTTCCCGAATACTGTAGATAAATCAGGAAGTATAGGACTGAAATGTGTGTGTGGGGGGGGTTTTACAAACAACTTTATTGATGTATAATGACGTACAGTAAGCCACACATATTAGAAGCACATAGTTTGATAAGTTTTCGTGCATGGATACATTCTAAAACCATCACCAGAATCAAGTAATGAGCACATCCATCACCCCCAAAATTTACCTGCTTCTTTGTAATCCCTCCTTCCACCCCCCCGCCAACTCCTCCTTTCCAGACAACCACTGATCAGTCACTATAGATTAGTTTGCATTTTCTAGAATTTCATATAAATGAAATCATACACTACATGCCTTTTTTTTTTTTTTAAATCTGGCTTCCTTATTCAGAGATTGAGATTCATCCATGTTGGAGCATATATCAAATATGCTTTCTGTCTTTCTTTCCTTCCTTCTCCCTCTCTCTCTCTCCCTTTCCCTTTTATTTTCTGAGTAGTTTTCCACGGTGACTATATGGATTTATCATGGTTTGTTTATCCATTCTCCTGTTGGTGGACACTTGGATTGCTTCCAGTTTTCAGCTAATACAAATAAAGCTGTTTTGAATATTCATGTTCATGTCTTTGTACGATCATAGGTTTTCTTCTCTCTTGGGTAAATACCTAGGCGGCTCATATGGGTATGTGTAGGTTTAACTTAAGAAACTGCTGAACTGTTTTTCGACGTGGTTGTGCCATTTTGCATTCCCACCTGCAGGGCTGGCGAATCCCAGATCTTCTGCCCTCGCCAGCACCTGGTATGGCAGTCTTTGTAACTTCAGCCATTCTAATGTGCGCTGTCCCTGAACTCTGAGGGTCAGAACGTTCTGACAATCTTCAGAAAGCATCTCCACTGTAGCGGGGGGTGCACAAACCCGACAGCAATGGAAGGAGGAACCATGAACTTAGGCTGTTTTCAGAGACTCTGGGCCATAAGGGAAGGCTTCACGTTCATGTGAAATTTATGGTTCTATCCTTGAAATAGGTCCGCTCTGTATCTGAATTACAACATTTTAAAGTTTATTTGCTCAGTTCAGAGCCGTTAGGTGGGGCCTTCTTTACAGGATAAAATATGTCTTTTTTCATTTTCCCAAATCATAAGGCCACGTTGCTTCTTGAACAATATCTAAGTGGTAAGGTTGGCTGAAAATCAGCTGGAGTTTCTCACAGTCTTTTAACCGAGTTATAAATATATCACATGTGTCCTTCCCCTTCTCAGCAGGGCACACCCAAACAGAAGACAAACAGGGAAGCTGAGAAGGAGAGACGAAGAGTGAGAAGCAGAGACGATGACCATCTGTCGCAGGTTGCAGAGACTGTCTCAGGTTCAGCACAGAGTGTCTTGAGTCTGGGAGTGTGTGTTCCACCTCAGTCAGAGCTGAAGCAACAGGCAAGCCAATAAAGCCTGGGGGCGTGGATGAAGGAAAGAAGACATCACACAGTCTCCAACTGGTTTAGAGGATATTTCTCACTGCTCCCTAAAAATGAGAAATGTAACTTCTCAAATCAACAATGTGTTACGGGTGGAAGTCAGACAAAAGCTAGGGGTGCATAAGATGGAAAAGGTTTCAAAGCCAGTCACTCAAGTGACAAGACACAGTAAGAGCAGACAGGACTCTGCTCCTGCCCACCTCTCCCCGTTCTGTGACCACAAGTTTCTCCTGCTTCTGGGGGTGCCATTGTGGGTTGAATTGTGTCCTCCCCTCCCCCAAATATGTTCAAGTCCTAACCCCAGTTACCTATGAATAGGATCTTATTTTGAGATGGAGGGTCTTTACTGATGTGATCAAGTTAAGATGATCAGGATGGGCCCTGATTTAATAACTGGTGTCCTTATAAGAGGGAGACCTGGATACAGAAACAGACATGGGAAGAAGGCCACGTGACAGTGGTGGCAGAGACTGGAGGGATGCCTCAGTGAGCTAAGGAGCACCAAGAATTGCTGGCAGCCACCAGAAGCTGGGAGAGACGCAGGAACCAGACTTTCCCTCAGACTTTCCAAAAAAGGAGCCAGCCCCACCCAACACCTGGGTTTCACATTTCTAGCCTCAAGAACTGTCAGTTTCTGTTAAGTCACCAGTTCCTAGTACTTTGTTATGGCAGCCCTGGGAAACCAACACAGACGCTTCCACATATGGAATAACCCCAATGGTTCTTTACATCCTGAACACTTACGGAGCAATGGGTTACTGAGTAACCAACCACCCTGTTCCCAGCCTGTGTGGACGTTATGGGAGAAGCAGTGTAGAACGCCAAGGCCTGGCCTCCTCCTTTGCTGAATTACCGTGTGTACTTTCCAGGTCTCCGCGTAGCAACTGCCCCCTCTAGAGAGCCATCCCTCTGTCGTCCCTAGGTGGATTCCAATGGCTCTCAACGGTCTCTGGGTTATCAGAATCCCCTGGGGAGCTTTTAAACATTCTCATGCCCTGAGAGCTGAGATTCTGAGTCCCCGAGTTTGGGAGGGAGCCAGGCATTTTGTGAGTTCCGCACTGAAGGGCTGAGAGTCTCTGGAAGGGTGCTTCTCGTCTGGGTTTTCACAGCGCCCTGTGACTGCCTCAGCCGCAGCCTCCTCCCTATTTTATTGAAGTGATGTGCTTCTTTTCATCTGCAAGAAGAACATCTCTCAATGTTCAAACAGCACCATCGAGTCACCAAGGAAGTTAAAACTCCACATGTGCCTGATCAATCCCAGACCAACTGAATCAGAATCTCCACGGGTGACTGCAATTTGCAGCCAAGTTTGAGAATTACTGTAATAGATCATTGCAAGGTCAGGCCACTCAAGACGGCTGTTTTCTTGCTCTCTGCAACATCCCTGCTGGAACAGTGCCTGCTCCACCTACACCTACTCACCCAACTGACCTTCCGACACACTTGCCCGAGGCCCCAGCTAATGGATGTTCTTATCAAAGGGGTGGTGAGGGGCGTGCCCCTCTGCTGGTTTCCCTGACAGCCGATGAACCAACCTGACGTCAATTCCCCCATCACCTCCCCCTCCCCCAGGGAGTGAAGCCTGCCGCCATGTCCCGCCCGCCTTCTGCCGCACCGGGGAGTTGCTCCAGGACCTTGTTCTGACCTGTAAGTCCCCCTGTCCTTTTAAACCATTCCTGTCTCTGTTGCTGCCTCCAGGCTCTTTCTTTGATCTGAAGCTGAGCGAGTGCAGGCTTTTGGGCCTGCGGGCTGCAGCCCAACTGTCAGAAACTCCCCGGGGGCAGGAATCTAGTCTTACGGATCCCGTGGGGCCAGGACACTGTTGGCACTTGCAGCCGCCACAGCACACCCATAGGTGTTTCTCAGGCAAGTGAGCTCTACCAGCAAATGAGTTTATAACCTCGAAGGGAGGCTAAAACCAACAAGTTAGTATTTACAAAGTTGTCCTGTGACATAGAACAGGTACAACAGACTTGCATCTTTTGGGGGAGCTGATGAATAAGGAGGCAAGGAAGGGAAGTCAACAATTACTCCTGAAAATCTCTTAGGGAGGTGCCTCTATAATCCAGTGCTGTCCCAAGTTCATAGAAATGATGGCTGCTTCTTCAGTTAAACACCGAATGCAGTAATCACTTGTATTTAGAGATCATGTTGATTGCAAGATCCATGTCTTCAAACACGAGACTCACACTTAGTTTAAGAGGCTCACTCTAAGGAAGGCCTGCAGCACCGGAGACCCACCGAGGGGCACAGCGGATTAATTCCAGCTCTGCTTTCTCCTCAAGCCAAACGTGAGTGTGGTTTTCCCTACTATTTAAATTGTATGCCCTCCCTTTTGGCCAAAAACATATATCTTTGAAAAAAATTCTTCCCCATTATGGTTTCTTACAGAATATTGAATAGAATTTCCTGTGCTATACAGTAGGACCTTGCTGTTTATCTCTTTTATATATAGTAGTTAGTATCTGCAAATCCTGGACTCCTAATTTATCCCTCCCTGCTGCTTCCCTTTTGATAACTATTAGTTTGTTTTCTACATCAGTGAGCTTGTTTCTGTTTTATAAATATATTTGTTTGTATCACATTTTAGATTCCACATATAAGTGATATGTGGTATTTGTTTTTCTCTGCCTGACTTACTTCACTTAACATGATAATCTCTAGTTGCTGCAAATGGCATTATTTCTTTTTAATGGCTGAGTAATATTCCAGTGTGTGTGTGCGTGTGTGTGTGTGTGTGTGTGTGTGTGTACACATGACATCTCCCTTATGCATTCGTCTGTTGATGGACATTTAGGTTGCTTCCATGTCTTGGCTATTATATATAGTGCTTCTATGAACATTGTGGAGCATATATCTTTTCAAATTAGAGTTTTCATCTTTTCTGGATATTTACCCAGGAGTGGGATTGCTGGATCATATGGTAAGTCTATTTTTAGTTTTTTAAGGAACCTCCATACTGTTTTCCATAGTGGCTGCATCAGTTTACATTCTCACCAACAGTGTCGGAGGGGTCCCTTTTCTCCACACCCTCTCCAGCATTTGTTATCTGTAGACTTTTTGATGATGGCCATCCTGACTAGTGTGAGGTGATACCTCATTATAGTTTTGGTTTGCATTGGCTAATAATTAGTGATGCTGAGAATCTTTTCAAGTGCCTGTTGGTCATCTGTGTGTCTTTGGAGAAAAGTCTATTTAGATCATCTGCCCATTTTTTTAATTGGGTTGTTTGATTTGAGAGTTCAAGTGCTGGTGACCGGAAGAACGGAAGTGTCATTCTGAGAGATGCAGACTTCCAGAGGAGGAACTGGTCTGAAGAGAAAGCAGGAAGATGACTCCAGACATGCCATTTGACTCGATGCTCCAGAGGTATCTAGAGGATGGTTGTACACCTGGTGATGGAAATCAGAGGCTGGTGCTTGGGAGAATGGGAAGGTGTTGATAAGCAAATAGGGAAGTAATCTGCATAAAGGAAGATTGAGGGAGCAGATGTCAATATCAAATGAGAAAGTAGGGAAAGAAAAAAGAAGCAGGAAAAGCCTGAACCATGAAGAAGCCATACATATAAGGAGCCAGAAGAGGAAGAGAGAGAAAGGATACAGTCAGAGAGATGGAGGAAAAGCCCAGAAGAAGCAGATGAAGGAGAAGAACCACGTGATGCTGAAATGCCTGAAGGTGTAACTGAGTTTTGAACCTTCACAGATAATGGCATTGCCCAGGAGAGTGTGATGCGAATACCTGTCACGGACTTCAAAAGACCAGGAGGACTGGAGAGGTTAATCTTCTTCTCCTTGGTTATTAAGCTTCTCCAATTCCTTTCCTGCCCCTCCCCAAACTTACTGCTCCTTCTCCAGCCAGTATATGGACAGGTAGCAGCAGAAATCAACAAGCGTTAAGAAGATGGGATGTAGGTCTTCTTGCCCATGGATACCTGAGCTTTCGTTACTCTTCCTCTGATTCAGCTCCTCTGATGCCTGTCAGTAACCTAGCTGAGATGGCTGAACATAATCTGTTACAGTGTCATTGTACTTAGGGCTAATCTTCATAAAGAAGTAGGCAGTTATCTAGTAGAGGTGGAATTTCCCAAGACCACCCTTGACATGTAGCTGATGCCTGAATTCCACTATCAAAGCTTTGTCCTTAGCCTCAGATTTTGTTTCCTGTTGGAACACAGATCCCATTGGGGGAACAAACACGTACACCTGCTGTCAGCGGAAGATTCTATTAGGACATCATCATTACTACTTCATGGTTCTTTACTTGATTGTCTATCTCCTTAACCAGTCCACGCATTAATCTATGAGGGCATAAACCATGTTCTGCTTACCTCTAAACCCCCAGTTCTTAGCTCAGCCAACAGTGTGCAGGGGCAGCTTGCACCATGGAGCTCATCTCTTCCCAGTTCTGTGTTCGGCAGCATCCCGCTGGTGTCTGATGTCAGCCGCGGT